TTTAAACGCCAAAGGGGCTCCGTTTCAAACGCTGCGAAATGAAGAGGGTGTTTGTCCAGCGAGGCGCCGACGTTAGGCTTCTTTGGGGGAATCAATTGATACGTTTTTTACAACGGACTAACAGTTTCCGGCGAGACTTTACACTTTGGAGACCTCACTTTTTGGAATGCCCTCGATGGCTTGGTCATGCCTAAGCAGCACGGGATGAGGAAGACCAGGGCTTAATACAATCTTATTTGTCTTTAATTTAAAGGGTATTTGCGCCACATTGCCATTGCACCGTACGCTGGTCCTTGGAGTCAACGAAGATCCAAGGAAGGTAAGAGGAATCTGAAGGGCTGTGGTTTATCGCAAACCTCACCCTCGAACTATATTTGGGTTTTTATTTCTTGGCGCGTGGGGCCTGTCCTTCACGATGGAATAATTCTCACGGCATTTCGTGGCTTTCTCGGCGTGCCGCATAGATATCGCATGAATTCCGCGACCGTAACCCAGTGCTGAAGATCAAGCCCGATATCTAGCCCCGGCCAGATCCGAGAAAAAACACGCGAAATGCTGCTTGACATATTCCATCGTAAAGACGCGACCTCACGCGCCAAGAAATAAAAATCCTATTATACTACACTAAAAAAAATATTGTAAGAATTAATATAAATCACGTCCAAAACCAGAAAAGAAACATTACATTCGTGTAAAATGTGCTTATCAAGGAAGTTTAATGACATTCCGAATTTCAAACAGTTTGCATTCATCACAACTTTTAATTAAATTCGCAAAGAAACTAAATTTTAAATCAAATGGACTATGCACGAAATAGCAGTTCTTAAAAAGGACGTTTTTAAAGTTTTAGTTTTTCTTGTATTTTAGCTACACATAAACCACATTGATATCTAACGTTTTCCATTTGACGAAATTGCCGAAGAATATTTTTATACGGAGTAAAAAATTTACTAGAGCGCAAGTGCGCCAACGTTCGTAAACGAACGAACCTAAAGCATTTTTACGTTTATCCTAAAATAACGAAGAATTTTTTACGTAACAAATTTCGAAAAATAGTTAGGAAAACATTGGACATATTTTTCTCTCAATGATATGTGATTGGCCTTGATATATTTAAGTTCTCTATTGATTTATTTAAATTCTTTGTTTTAACTTTTCACATTGTTATCTGTAAAAATAGTTTGGGTATACGCCATAAATGGACGGAAGCTTTGTTTCTTCCCCGAAAACCTTTATAATTAATGCCCCAAAATATTCGTTCTTTCCTTTTAAAATTGAAATTATGGTCAAAATATCTCCAAAATTGGCGAAATCACTCTCTGGGACTTAAAAACTGCTTATAGAAAATATTTTTGTGCAGTGCCAAGTGCATTTGTAGTGCCATTTTCCAATAACGTTTAGGTGTCATATAAATAATATTATTTGGAGTTGAAGTGTTTAGTATATTTTTTTCCTTCCCAGTAATGGTCTATCTTTATTGATTTGTACGCTGATTCCCATGCGTATTGGCTTGAAAATCTTAAGAGGGCTTACGACAGCAAATATGCTGGATTTCCATATAGATGCACATAATTCTTGTCTTCCAGAACTATATATCCCACATACTCAACAAGCAGCATATTGCTTGCTGCAGAACCACTAGAGTTTTATTTCTGCGAGGAATTTTATTCCATCCCCAGTATGACTTCTAGGCTGTCGGGTTCTTGGGCTGTCCATCCCCAATATTTCTCGTTGATTACCTGTATTCTGTTCTAGTTTCTCGTTTTATTAATTCCTTCACTCTCAATCAAATACTCGATTGATACCACAGACCAGGAAGGGCAAAACCTCAGTGGTGGCAAGGTAAACGTACCGAGATTTTAAAGGATGTACTTTATAACCTAAATCCGCCCAATTTAAAATTTAACTGTTCCGTAAGATTTTATTTTCCCCTTATTTAGACCACCTCCATAAAAACATTCAATATAATTGCTCCATCTCGTGCTTTTTTCTTATTTATTCAAGAAATAATTTGTCATTTTCTTTTTTAATCACTTTCACTTTCAAAGAAACTCCTAAATATCTGATAACCCACAATCTTTCTTTCTTCGTTTTTGACATCACTCCAACATCGGAAGCTAAAGAAGATAAGCGCAGAAGACATTTTGTGGAGGGATAAAAACTAATTAAATTGAAACAACGTACAAAACTGTGAGATTTACATTACCTTTTAATTGGCGTATATTAATAACTGCCTCAATTTCTGACTCAATAATTTTCACTCGCATGTGTTTAAAAAACTAATTATATTTACTATTACTTATTTGAACCAGTTTTTTATGTACAAACCAATTCTATATTAACTTTATATGCAAACTTTATTCATGTAACTCCTCTGTGAATGTTTCAAAATGATTTATTCCTCATTTCTGACAAATAAGATATTTGCAAGTGGTTCCATATGTGTTTTAAAAATATGTCCTATTACCAAAATAATTAATTTGAACGCCAACACAGCCGCACATAACACAGGAGATACATCAGCAAGCGGTATTCGGTAGTGAAGGTCCGAAGCAAGGATTCCACTTTGCGGCAGTGTTCATCAGCAGGTGACGAGCAATATACCCCTGGTGCAATCTGCCGGCCTCGGATGACGTGGGCGAAAGGCTTCAAGCCCGCCCGTCCCGCCCTCTCCGCCCGCCCAGCCCACCCACCCGCCCATGCCCTGCTCGCCCCAAAACCCGCCCGCCCCGCCCGCCTCAAACCACCCGATACGCCGCCCCGCCCGCCCCGCCCGCCCGCCGCCCCCCGCCCCGCCCGCCCGCCTCCCGGCCGTCGCTGCGTCAGCCGCCGGCGCCGGCTCGAGCTATCGACGCTCTGTCGATTACACTCTAATTCGCTCGCGCCAAAACGTACGCCAATCGCTCATGTTTCGTTAACAAAAATCGGTAATTATATACTCTCGCCTTTCATTTACATTTGCGGCCATTTAATTAGCCCCAAATTGAATGAAAGGAATGTGAAACAAATTTGGCCTAATGATCCATGGAAGTCGAGGCCAAAGTTGCGTAACTAGCAGGGGGCGGAGTCGAGATGGCGGGGCGGAGCGCGCTAGCCAACGCGCCAGTGCACAAAACGCACAGGCGCCATTTAACTTGGCGGCGTGGCGCCTGCTTCAGCGTCTTCAATAAGAGGCCGATGTGGAACACGAACGCACAGTGAATACAGAGGATGCTGCTTTGCCGTTGCCCCAAAGTTAACGAAAATGCACTTGTCGAAGTCGTAATTTTGTGCCGAGAACATCAGAAAACGGACATCCCAGTGTTCTCCCAAAGAGATGTTCCGTGAGTTTCCCGTGCTCGTCGGCCCACTGACCCGAATGAACCGACCCCGATAAAAAAACGATTGGTTTAAATGAATTCCTAATGATGCTCTAGTACGCGTGACTCTTACATGTTGTTATAGAAAGATCTAAAAAGGGGACATTTTGTTTTCGCGCTTAAAGAAAAATGCCTTAAAACAAGGAAATATATTTCATTATGTGCACAACGTATTAAACCAGTTTTTGCAGCAACTCTACGATTCTTTCTTAATGGACCGGCCATTAAAAGTCCTAATGCTATATTAATTCAACTGTTTTTGCCGCTGCATTTAAATCGATATAACAGTACACGCATTACGAAAATCTTAATAACAAATATGTGCTACCCAACAAAATGTGATAAAATTAGAAATGTCTCAAATTAAAATTTCGAACTTTCTTCTGTAACATTGAATTGACTACTAATTAATCAATTATCAGTAAATTTTTCCATTATATTTTACAGCCTCAAATTTTAAACTCTAATTCCAGTTGAACCCAACACAGGGTATATACAATCTGGAGAGAAAAGATGAAATTCGCAGAAATCGATACTTTGAACTATCATATTTCAGTAATCAAACACTGTTCATATTAAAGAGGCGGAGGGGAATTCAAGATATCAGTCCATGTTCAAGACTGGGAGTTTAAGTAATAGGTTTGGAGTCAGTTCACCAAAATGCGTCACCACGAAACGTTAGGTAAACGAGGCAAAGGGCATGTTTATTCTTCCCTGGCCTTCGGTTACCATTTCGTTAGTCAACTTTCATAGGTAAATCGAAATCTTCAACCCAATCCAGCTGGGGTGAACAGCCACCACCTCCGTGACAGACACTTGCACTACAACTACGGTACAAAGTAAGCCACAGCTGTTGACGCGCTCGCAAACAAAACAAAATACAAAGTCTTATTGTGATTAATTAGTAGAGAATCCTGGTGCGTCCACTGCTAAAAGGACATTATCCCCATAAGTTTGGAGATGTTGCCCCGCTGGAGGGGCGAGGTCCGGCGCCGACCTACCGTCAGCTAGTAGGTTTTCCCCTACATGGTATCTCCCACCATCGGGGCACCACCCCACCGTTGACAAGCTCTAAAGCTCCGAGGCCGCGTCGCATGTGTAGTCACGAAGTTGCGTGAATGTAAGCGGTAGGATAGGACAAGGAAGAGGAAGGAAAGATCGCGCGCGGCCCTTGGCCGTTTTCGTATGGTACCTTCTCCCAACATTCGCCTATGTTGAACGGAAAAAAACACGGAAAAATTAATAGATAGAGCAGCGGCCACTGGGACTTCTCCTCCAGGCAGCGAACTGAT